CCCCCCCCCCCCCCCCCAGGCCGCCATTAGCCGCTACTGTATCGTCTGTCTTAAAGGTAGGAACTCATAATTAAAACCACGTTTTATTTCATATCACAGGAATCCTTATATACTATAATTTTGTGTCTGTGTGTGTGTATGTCTCTGAAGATTAATTTCTTTCTTTTATTTCTTATGGGAAAAAATTATTTGCGATATTTATGAGCTCGGTCCCGGAACGGATTATGCTCGTATCTCAAGGTATTACTGTACTGTAAATTTTTTTTTGTTCAGCCCCAGACATCATCCAATGACAGACTAGATTCTGTCTCTTAGTCAACGTTACTTAGGCTACGTTAAAACAGTCAGAAAATCTGTTACGCGCAATTTTTCTCTCAAATGTAGCGAAGTAAAATACTTGAAGTCAAAATGTACTTGTACGTAAAAAGGAAAATGACCTAATCCCAAAACTACTCAAGTACAGTTACTGTCTAAATGTAAATGTAATTCAGTACTTTCCACTTCTGATTCTAATACAGATCCAGGTCTTTAAAGTCTATCATTCTTTCGCTCTTTCACTCAGGTATTTACACTTGTGTGGCCTGGAACTCTGATGGTGCAGACACCAGGAGCATCTCAGTGTACGTGGACTCTCAGGCATCTTGGTCCAGTGGCCGAACTTGGTCAGAGGAGGATGGCCACAGGAAACAGCCATTGTCGGAGAATTCTTCAGGTGCTACAGCTTCTCTGGTGGTCCTGGCCAAGGTTCTGTGATAGGTTTTTATCAGGTTTCGAATTATTTATTTGAGGAGTTGCGATCGGTTCAAACTCACACTCGTTACATTTTTCCCTCTGCTTTCTGCAGGTGGTTCATGCTCAGTCTGTGGTCCTGGAGTGGAGGTTGTATCAGAACCAGCTGGACGCTCGGACCCACTTGTCTCATTGGACCAGTGCATTTGTTCATATTGACAATCCACAGATCAGCTACACTGCAGAGGTGACTCCACCCATAGTGCTGAGTTCCCAAAATGTTGGCCTGTATCTCAATTTCTAGATCGATAGATGGATAAATAGCACTTTATTCATCCCTCCGGAATTCAATTCGGGAAAATTTAGGACTGCTTCAAGAAAGCTTTCTTAAAACTGCAGCATCTTTAATCGTGCTCAAATAACTCAGAACACAGTTATAACACACAATGTTGATTTAGACGTCTTTATCCTGTGAGGATTTACGGCTCGACACACGTCGGAACTCGGAACGTTCCTACGACGTGACTTACCGTAATTTCCGGGTCTATAAGCCTCTACTTTTTCCACATGCTTTGAACTCTGCGGCTTAAACAAAAATAAATGTATGGATTTTTGACGTGCTCATGAAGTTCATACTGTGAGCAATCAGAGAACGGTAGCGAAAGTTGAGAGCGGTTTGAGCCCTGTCAGGTTGTAGTGTGAGTTGGTTATACGGGAGCTGTTAAAACTCTGTTAAGTTCTGTTGTGCCCCCCAACTTCCCTGTTTCACTTGGGAGCCATAATGAAGGGCAAAAAAAAAAAACCCAAACAATACGACTGAAAGAAAACAAATGTAGAACAACCGAATGTATGGCGTACAACCAGTGAATGTAAACACAGCTGCGGGACGATGCATTCGTCCACTACACTCGCCAACTAGTTCCCGTCCGAGATTTGTTTTACGTACGTTGGAGCGACGGGATTCGACTTTCTTGATGCATTTGTGGGGAATGGCTTTTGTTTGACAAGACCCTTGTACTAATGGTCTGTATGTTCTTCTCCAGGTTCCAGTGGACGTTAAGGAATATAATCTGACTCACCTCCTCCCCGCCACTGAGTACCACGTTTGCCTCACAGTCTCCTCCTCCTCCTCCTTTCCGTCCTCCACCTCTTCCCCCTCCTCCCCTTCGTTCCCCCTCACCTCTTCTTCTGTGCACACGTCCTGTCTGAACGTGACCACTAAGGAGGCGGGTTTTTCAGTGGAGCAGGTGGCCTCGCAGCGGCGAGGGGTAGCCCTGGCAGCGGTTATGGGATCCATGTTTGCGTTGTCCATCATGACGCTGTTGACGCTTTACATGCGGCGCCGCTTGCGGCAGCACGAGTCCTGCGGTCACTCGCTGAAGATGTACGTCCAGCAGGCGGCTTCAATCCCCCTGAGCGAGCTGTACCCGCCGCTCATCACGTTATGGGAGAGTGAGGCAGAGAAGGACAAGGATGACAAGGAGGAGGAAGAGAGGGGGCGGGGCCACATTGACACCTCGAAGACGTACATGTGGTAGCTTCTCAGGTGGGTAGGTTAGGGGTCCACAGTGACGCGTGTGGTGGTGCTTTAATTTTATTCCCGAGGCCACTCAGAGTAGAGGGGAAAAGAGTGGGAAAGAGATGTGAGAGGTCACGTGACACAATATTAGCAGTTGGGAATGAACTGGCCGATTCAACGTTCTGGTGTTTTCACTAACTCCTTGATTGGAGGATTTTAGTCACCTTGGAGGAAACACATTGTGATTGAATTTTCTCTCTTAGTTTGACATATTTTTTTGTCTTTAATAAGCTTGTGTAGACTGCTTATTGGGTAAGATTAAAACGAAAAAAAAAATCATATTTAAAAAAAACATCTTCCTATTAAAGTATATCTATGAGGTCGGGTTTTTTTTGTTTTTGTGCAAAATATTAATATCACTGCCACTTTTATTCTTTAACACAGCGTTTAAATGTAGTATGTAAATTTCAGGGTGAATTTTGGTGACTTTATTACCCCCAAAAATGTCTGTATTTGAAGGCTTTTAAAGTCACCTCGAGTTAGATTTTGTGGCTGCCGTGCTGCCTGAATTAAAAAAAAACAACCAAATAGTTCAATTCGAATTCTATTTTGTTAAAAGTTGGATCAAACCTAAAACACCAGAATGTTTCCCGTGCGTGTGTAATTGTGTCTTCTTGTCCTCTCCTCTCCTCTTTCTGTGTGAAGCACACTCAAATTCTCTGCACTGCAAAAACTACGTACAATTCTGTCTGATTATTGTAATGAACTTGAACTTGCATCACCGACACGTCACACATATCACCCACGAGCTGCTGCACTTAAATCACGTTGTCCCTGTTCAGTCGATGACCTGCCGAAGGACATGTCTCAAATTAAATGTGTGTATAAATGCAATGTCCAAGATGCGGGACCACAAACCTCACCTTGACTTCATTATCATCAGCGTAGCATGGGATACATCCAATCTTACCAATCTTTTATATATATATTTATTATTCTGTTCTGGAGCTGCGCACCACAATCGTCACTAGGAGAAATCTCATGCATGGAAATTAAGAGTGACTTCTGACCTTTTACTTCACCCTGTCTCACTGGTTGCTGTGGGCAGGTGTTTACACTACGTACTCGCAGTTTGTATTTGCTCTTTATTTGAAAAAGAAGTAGGATGATTTACAAAAAAAAATATTTGTTTACAAGGAACAAGTATCAGTATCTATACTTTTCTACCACATGATACCAGGAACATTTTCTTGACAGGCGTTTCTTTGTGTTTTCACCGGTAAATTGATTCCTGCAGTGTGACACAGTTCCTGATTTTTTTTTTTAATTTTTTTTTTTCAATAACTAATGGTAATAATTCTGCCAGTAAAAAAAAAACCTACCTTGTTCCTGGAACCAGCTCAAGTGGTGGAGGAGTTGTAAGTACTGTCGTTTCAACAGTGGGAATGAACACTGCTGGTACACTTTCTAGTATTTGGTACTACTTCCTGTGGTGAGGTTGTCTCTAATTTTTGGTACTACCGTAGTTCCTGCTGTGGAAAAAAATACAATTAAAGACAGCTCTAAAGTTTCGATAAATGATCCACGTTGAGGTAGGCTGTCAGTCTCACTTGACTTACATGCAGAAAACGCAGGGTATTTGTATTATAGTTTCTATTATTACTGTAATCACTGAGCACTGAGCACCAATGCTAACTGAAGTGTGTGCGTGTGCGTGTGTGTATGCGTGTGTGTGAGAGTGAGAGAGAGCAAGAGAAAGAGATAATGATGGTATAAATAAACACTTTGTCACTTCACAGCAGACTTTTGTTGTCAATAATACCAAACACGATACACAACTCACTTAAAATGTACACGTTTGTTTGTTATTTTCTTTTTTCTTTCTTTTTTTTTAAAACACGATACACAACTCACTTTTTTCTTTTTTTTTTGTCATTCTCTTTTTATTTAGAAAGGCAAATTTCCATCACATACATTGATTACAGCTTTTCTTTTTCTTTTTTCTTTTTCTAAAGCACTGAAAAGAATGACTGCCCTTGTGGCATTTTATTCATGAACAATAACAAGAATTAAAAGAACAGAACTGAACTGGGAAAACGGGGTGAGTCAGATCCGGTTGGCTTTACATATTCAGTCCATTTAGTCCAGGTCATATAAAAATTCCCTCTTTCGACCTTGAGGGAAAAGGAAATATTCTCCATACACAGTTTCAATCCATTCATCGATTGGGGGGGGGGGGGGGGGGTCCAAACTCTTTCAACAGTATGGCAAGTAGTTTTTTATCTGTCTTTTATTTTCCATGTTTCGAACAATATATTGCCCAGAAACAAAGTTTCACATTTTAAAGGAATGTTCACATTAAATACATTAAATTCTTAATATGTTTATGGATCTCTTCCCAGTAAGATCTAATTACTGGGCAGTCCCAAAAAATATGAAAGTGGTTGGCTTCATTAGATCCACAGAGCTTCCAGTAAGCGTCGCCACTGCCTTGGTGTCATTTTTGTATGGGTGTAGTAAAAAAAAAAAAAAAAAAATCATATTATATTCTTCCAACAGAATTCCCGCCATATATTTTCACCCAGCTATCCTGTGAGATCTCAACCCTTATTTCTTTTTCCCATTTCCCCTTTATGTATTCTGTATTCTCTTGTTTGGATATTTGCATAACGTTATGTATAATTTAGAGATTATTTTATTGCATGTTCTGGATTTAGTCAATGATAGGAATACCTCGATGAACTCTGACTCATCTTTTCTTAATATTTCTTTAATATTTTGGTTCAAATAATGTCTCACTTGCAAGTACCTAAAAAAAATCATCTCTCCCCAAGCTGTGATTCTTCTGTAAGGTTTCAAAACTCTGAAATATCCCTTTGTGGGTAAATGAATGAATAGGCCGCACTTCTCTATAAGCCGCAGGTGTCCACCTTGTAACATGAGTTATTCACTTTTAATTAAATAAATGCTTCTTTTCTGAACATGCACATTTTCAGCTAGAAGGCTCTAGCTGGCTGGTATGACTTATAATCCGGAACGACTTATCCGGAAAATACAGTATTCCCCTCCCCTCAAAAGCCGTAAACTAGATTTTGCCAGATAGGGTGATTTCTCTTTGTCCTTAGTAGTGTCTTGCCATGGATTTTGACATCTTTTTGTCATTAAAAAGCATTTTAAGTAGGGCTGTCCAATATTGAGTCTTTGCCAATATCTGATATGCCAATATTGTCCAAACACTTAATTTCTGATTCCGATATTAGAGTAACCGAAACCAAAATAGCGGGGCAGTGGTGGCCTGGTGGTTAAGTTTAGCACAGCATATAATACCACTATCTCTCCTGAGCCTCTTTTAGCTATGTTGTGGGTAATGGAAGTCTTTATCATGTTACACTGTTGTTTTATTATTGTGAAATTTCTTGAATAGTTAAAAATGTTAACATTAAAATGCTGTTTGATTTTCAAGGATGGGCCATTTTTAATAAATCGAAGTTGCAACTATTTGTCATGTGGTAGATATAAAGTAGATACTTTATAATAATATAATGCATATATAATTACTGTGTATATATATTAATGTACTTGTATGATGTAAACTCTATAACTACTTTATCTATAAAACTACAAGTACATGATCATTTGTGTTGAATTGAAAACATTAGATACTTAAAAATCTCAACCTAGCAAACTATTGGTGGTCTCTGATACCACTGCTACGTATGTTATTATTGTGATTATTAGTGTTATAATATTTTATCTCTAAATGTTGGAGTTTGGGTTTGTCACTACTTACACTGAATGTTATAAATTATTTTATTTATTTATTTTTTTTATTGTTGTTTATATTATTTTAAAGGTGTGTGGCGTTAGGGTTGGGCTTTATACGTAGAGCACCAAAATGGCTAGGTCCGGCTCTGGGACTGAGGTGCGAGACAAACTAAATATATGTGCTTAAATACAACCACGGCAAAGGAGCCTTTCCGAGAAATATTGTTTAAATAGAGGCCTTCCAGACCGGGGAAGAAGGCTGACGAAACATTTTACTGTAATGTTACGACTTATTCTAATATATTTTCTTTTATCTATTTTGCCGTAATATAACGATTTATAAAAACCTAAAATACACATTAGTTAAATTAACTTATAATAAATACTAATAATAAACTTTTTAAGTAAAAATCCCGAACGTAATGACGTACTCGGTTAGTGTGTCGCAGGAAGTGACGCCATGGCCGTCAGTCTGTTGATGTTTTTAGTGTCTGCAGGAAGAAGAAGAAGAAGAAAAACAACCATAGACGGGGACCTCGCTTGTTTTTGTTCGTTTAACGGTGAAAACGTCGCGCCACTCCCGCCTCCTCTTCTTGCTGCGGCTCCGGCACCGTCTTAAATCTGTGTGTGACGGTCGTGCACCGGGCCGGAGCCCCACACTGCGACATTTTTTGTCCAGAAAGGGAGGAATCGTCTCCCGCTGACCCCCTCCCTCTCTACCTCCCTCACGCTCCACCATGACGATCCTCCCGAAAAAGAAGCCCAGCTCCGGGGTCGGAGTGTCGGACCACGCCGATGACAGCGACCGTCGGAGCGTTTCTGATCCACACCAGCACCCGCACCCACACGCTGGGAGGACCGGAGCCCGGCCAAGGGCTTCGCCTCCGCCGTGGTCCTACCAGCCCGCTCCGCCCTCCGCCAGGGACGACAGGCGGAGCATTGAGGCCAGCTCCCGGCCGCAGCAGGCCTCTCCACCGCCAGTCGGCTCCGTGTCCCCTGTGGGGTCCGGGGACGGGCGGGATAACAGCGGCAACATAGTGGCTGGGGGCCCGCGGGC